GCATTATGAAAATCCGCGAAATAGCCAATCCGCGATAAGTGAACCGCGAAGTGGCGATGGATCACTGTATACCGAACCGAACTGAAAACCGTGACCACGAACCCGTGAACCGAACCGAACCGTGGATTTTGTGAACCGTCCCACGCCTCTCACCCTCTTCTGATGGCCTCCAGGAAGTTGGCGTTTCCCGGGTCGCTGTAGTTTCTGAGCTCGCCGTTGTCCAGACTGAAGCCCGTCTTCCACAGCTTTAGCACCACGTGGACCTGAACACAGACACACGCAGAGTTATTAGAGATTAGATTTGCCGGCTTCGTGGGAATCTGGTGTTAGCCAGCAGAGCTAACAGCTCTGAAAAGTTGTTAGCTACCAAAAGCAGCCCGATCAGTTCTGTTCTGTCTGTGAGCTCAAGCTTATCTTAAGGCATTTCCAGCTAACGGCAGTTCCAACAGAGAAGTTTTCCCCTTTCATTTCCTCTCAGTGTCCACAATAGCTGTGTTTAAACTTATAAAAAAGAGCTTCTTCTTGGCAGGGTTCAATATTCGTGGGAATCTGGTGTTAGCCAGCTAGCTAACAGATCTAAACAGTTGTTAGCTCTGACCAAAAGCAACCCGATTGGTTCTGTTCTGTCTGTGGGCTCCAGCAGACTAAATCTGAATATTTCTTCGTAGCTTCACGTCATATTCAGAAACCAACACACAGAAAATGTTCTGTCAGCAGATCTCCTGGTCGCTGTGCTGTAATATAATATTATTATAATAATATTATAATATTATTAAAACGTTTTCAGCTCCTAACGCAACCACGTCATGCCTCCAACGATTTCATAGAAATGATGATAAACTGCAGGATAACATGGAGGACGATGGATTTCAAACTAAAATGTTGTATATATTTTTGGTTGATTCCATGTTTATTTTGCATGTATTTGATATATAAAGTTCATTTGCGAACCCGTCCTGCCACACGGAGTTGAGCGCACGACGGGCCGACTGCTTTCGATTTTTTCACCCCGGACAGTAAAGCGTGAACGTCGGTCAATGGGTCATTTCTAACTCTGGTATTTACTAGCTTTCGTTCACCATCAATGAGTGAATGAGCTCAGATAATTCAAAGCTGAATAAGCAAAGCGGCCTCATAGGATCAGGAGCCCAACAGCTCATCTTTCATCATGTGACTGAACACTTTAGAGCTGGTTCACAACTCGTCCTTCTGTCGGAGGCAGAAAGAGACGGCTGGACACAGATGCTGCGTTAAGGAACCTCATCCTGACAGTTTGCACCCCTTTTCTACACTCAGAGAGTGCTGCTACCTTATTTAAATCTCCTGTTCAACGTTTAGGAGGATTTTCTATAAGAGCAGAAAAGGTTCAGATAACAGTCCAGACTATGTCAAAGTCTGCATGTTCCCTCACATCCACGCTGATGTTCAGTGAACCCTCTGGAACAATAATTCCTGCCTAATTAAGTCTAAGTTGGCAGAAATGAACAGGAAACAAAGCGTGGAATCTGAAGAACGACTCACGTCCTGCTGGCTGCCGCCGCCATGCCTCTCTCCGGCCACGTAGGCCGACTCCTCCTCTGGAGCCGCCCCTAACCTGTACCCGCCTCCAACAAAGGCCTGGGAGAGGAGGGACATCATCAGTTTAAAGACATTTAACTCATTGGCTGCCAAAGACGTCTATAGACGTCAATTCAAATCCAACCGTTGGCTGCCAAAGACGTCTATAGACATCTTTTATGTTTTTCATCGAGAGTGGCTGGGGGACGTTTTGCTAAAGCTAGTCCTTAAATATCAGGCTTCTAGACAGAGTATGTACAGTGGGGGAAATAAGTATTTGAGCCTTTGCTAATTTTGCAGGTTTGCCCACTTACAAAGAACTTACAGGAATTTTCTTTGGGATTCTGTCTTTCACTGTTAGAATGTACATATGATTAAAGTTATAGGTCGTTGAATTCTTTGTAAGTGGGCAAACCTGCAAAATCAGCAAGGGGTCAAATACTTATTTCCCCCACTGTACTAACAAATTGACCCTCTAGGGGGCAGTGCCACTTTTGATGGGAGATGAGCATAGACTGTAGGCAAATAAGAAAAAGCTAACGGTTCTATGAGAGAACATGTCGCCGGTGAGATGCAAGTCGAGGAAGAACGGAATAAGGTAGAAACACATTTTTTTTCCTGATGAAAGAAGAGAGTCTACTCTTTCTTTTGGTGTGTTCGGTGTTTACATAGTCATAGCACAAACTATTCTGTGGCTCTTGAAAAATCAGTCAAAATGCTCAAAAAGCTCTGGCAGTATGGGACTCTCTGTTTACCCGGGCTCTGCTGGGCTCTCCGGGTCCTTTCCCGCTCCGCTCCAAAGGCACGGCTCCGTGCTCTTTGGCCCCTTTGAAGAGATCCTCCACCACCTCGTTGGAGCTTTTCTTCTTAGGAGGGCCGACGATCTGCTGCCCGCTGCGCTCCGACCCCCCCGCGAAAAACCTGACAGGGACACATTAAGGATAAACACAGAGAGCAGCTTTCAGGTGTGTGAGGCTGTGAGGAGGAAGATGAGGGGAATTCAGAGGGGAAGGACGTTTGGGTTTTAGCACCAGGGGAACTTCACAGATTGTGTAGCTTCCTGAAACAGGGAAAGCCTCCTAAACAAAAAAAATCAAACTAAAGCATTTAATCTAGGCTTGTCCCGATATTATATTTGGATCGGATGCTGATATTCGTAAAAAACTGCGTATCAACCGGCAGAAGGAAAAGAAGATCCAGTTTTTTTTTTAAAAGTCCGATCCCACACGAGCATTAGCATTAGCATCTGCTAACCCACAGGTCTGTGTCCTAACCATTAAGTTGTTATCAGAGTAAATCCCTGTTCAACATGAGTCTGACAACTAAGTAAGGAGATAAATAACTTTAAACTTTAATACATGCTCTGATAGGGCGGGATCGGAAGGGAAAACAGATGGAGAGAGCCAATAAACACTCTTTTTATTGATTATTTCTTTGTAATTTCTTTCTTTTTCCATCTCTCTTGTGCAAGTCATTTGCTTTATTTCTATGTGTAATTATCTGCAGTATTTATTAAGGAGTTATCGTAGGTTTTTGGAACCAATTATAGGAATTACAGTGTATTCTGATGGGAATATTTGAACCAACAAACCAATATTGTAACATCCAGATCCCACATTAGCATTAGCATCTGCTAACCCACAGGTCTGTGTCCTAACTATTAAGTTGTTATCAGAGTAAATCCCTGTTCAGCATGAGTCTGACAACTAAGTAAGTAGATAAATAACTTTAAACTTTAACACCTGCTCTGATAGGCCGGGATCGGGATCGGATCTGAAGTGAAAAAAGCTGGATGGAAACATCCCTACTCCCACATTCATCTTCCAAATCTTTTTTTAATTTTCTCAGATTTCTTTTGACTGACAAATCCCAGCACGTTCTTCCCAGCTGCCTTTACTCAGAAGCAGCCCACCGTCTCACACATGAGGAGGAACATCACATCACACCTTCTGCTCTTTTTTACTCCAGCCGACTGGTGTAAATGCTCTGCATCTATATTCTGCTCCACGTTTCCTCTGAAACAATAAACAACCCCTAACGCTACGCCCACAGGAGGGGTGGACAGAGACGCTGGTTGTTAACCCTTTAAAGCCTGATCCAAGAATAAAACAAAATAGAAAATTACTTTTTTTTTTGTTTGAAGTCTTTATTTGGCCTCTAAACAAAATATGTAAAAAGAAAAAACAGAAATACATTTTTAATGATAATAATTTATTACAATGCGATAAGTCAAGATTATTTTTTGTGTAGTATTCTGCCCCCTGTTATCAGGTGTATCTGATTGTGTACAATAGGATTTTGAGCAAAGTTTTTACCATTAAATTATGCAAAAGGTGTCAGACGCAAAACATTTCAGAAACCGTATGAATCAGATATGATACATTTGGCATTACAGGGTTAAAAACACCTGTGTTATGGCCGGCAGAGGTTTTATGGCAGGGCTATAACACCCGACATTAGCCAGCCTAAAAGCATCTGAAGCCGCCAACAGAAGTGGCTCTTACATCTAAAAACAGCCTCACCGCTAATTATTTTACAGGAACTGAAGTTGATTCAATTATGCAAACACACAGACAATTAATTGTGAAGAAATAACGAGGAAACACCAACTCTGTAGGATTCCATCCAGTGGAAATATATATATATATATAATATATTCCTCTACCTATTAAAAGCTGTAAGATGATAGAAATTGTTGAATTCTAAAAGTGTCTCAACAGTTAGCTGCCTCACAGCTAACAGATCCCATCCGAAATGTCTCTTCTAATCTTAAAGTAGCAAAAACAACAGCTCAAAATATCTAAAGGAGACTGTGAAAACATTAACTAATAAAGTCGTCAATATTTAACCAACATGGCTACCTCGGCTATGTGGGAGATTTTCTGAACTATCTGATAGCAAAAGGTTCTCCAATAAAAGAAAATAAAAATCTGTGAGGGGCTGCTGAATATTCTCATGGATCATGTTGATTTGGACTGGATGGTGTATTTCAAAAGGGACGATAACTGCATATGTGTACTTGAATCCAGAAAAGTGAGCAGTGTAATAAATCTAGAAATTGTAGCCTCGAGCTGCATGATACATGCATTACGATAAAGATCAGCCCTGCATGTCATGGTTAATCTAATATGTTGGTACTTTAGGTCAACTGGGCAGCAGAGACTCTAAAAAACTGAACCCCAAATCTCACACTTTATGACAAAAGTTCATTTCAAGGCAGGTTTCAACCATAAACTGTGCTGAGAAACTGAAACTGGACCACCAGATGCAAAGGGTTAAAAAAAAGACAGAGGATAAAACTTTCCTCTGCTTGCTAGATACATAAATAAATAAATAAATAAATAAATAAAACACTGGAGAAGCCTAGGCAGTACCTTAGCAACCTATCCTCTGCACTGCACCGGCAGCAGAATCTGTCAACTCAGCAGAAAAGCGACCGGCTCCCAGCGAACGGGGAGAGACCAAAAATAGTTTGGTGCTTTCTAGAAGCAAAGCTCCTGCCATCCAGGCACTGAGACTGAGATTTTTCAACAAACAGCAAAGCCGAAACCTAACCGAATAAATCCCACGGCCATTTAAGACCGTAAAAATATCCCTTCGGGGATAATTGGGGAAAAACAAAAACAAAGTGACTTTTTTCTGATTTGTTTACCAAACAAGGCCTCGCTAAGCCCTCAAATCTAACATCTAATCTCTACTAAGCCAATGAAAATGTTCTTTCTAATGACCCTTTAGGCATGAAATTAAGAAACAGACATATCATCAGTGTGACATTTTAATGTGTCACTCTTAAATGTGACATAATCACTTTGGACCGCTACTACAAGGGATAAACTTACCTTTGGCCTTCCTCCTCATCGCTGTCTTCTTCTGCCTCATGCATCAAATCTCTAAAGGAGGTCACTCTGGGCTGACTATGGCAGAAAAATGCAATGTTTGACAATATGTTAGAAAGTAATATGTGACATCTACAGACAGTAAATATGTGTTACAACACAGAGCTGTTTCACTTTGCTCCAAACAATCAACTACTATGATATGGGAACAAAATGTTGGATTAGTAAAAAGCCAAAATGGAAATTGTACCTGGGTCCTGCTGATCGGGACACAGAGGAGCCTCCCTCAGGTTGAGGAAGTGTCACTATGTCGTCGTCAGCTCCATCCTCAAAGAAACTGGCGAGTGCAAGCTGAGGAGACAAGAAAAACAAGGAAATGTTACACCAACAATGACACCTTCACGCTGGTTTTACACACCAGCAACATCCTCAAAACAGTTATTTAATTTAATGGTAAAAACTTTGCTCAAAATCCTATTGTACACAATCAGATACACCTGATAACAGGGGGCAGAAGACTACACAAAAAATAAGTTATTACATAAATACAACCCAGTATGGTTTGAAAGACAATGGCAAAACAAGATATTTACTCAATCTCAGTCTGTAGAACACGTATTTAAGATGTACACACTGATAAAGGGCAGGGGAATTCCAACAAAGCCAGTGAGGCACAATCATTTTCTCTATACATTTAAGTCCAAAAAACACAGTGTGAATAAATGAAAACTTTGAATATACCTCAATATATATGATATCCCTAAACCTGACAGTCGATAGGGATGAATTAGAGGCGCAAAAGTTAGCCGCTTCACTGCGTCAATTTACATTAATCTGACGTTATGAGATGCTAATGCTAGTTAGCATGGGTCGTTTGACTCACGACAGAGAACAGTAAGCGAAATCTTAAAAAACGACCCGGTTTGTAAGCAACACATGACGTATCTCAAGTGTCGTAGTTGTGACTTGTGAGTTGTGTTTCGGTTGGTGACACAAACCGGTCGGGCCATTGTCAAACGGTGACTTGCACAATTCGCCGGCATCACGGGCTAACGTTAGCCGGTAAGCTACTAGCAACACACTCGCCACAAAGGCAAAGATGTACTCAAAATGGCCACAAACGGTCGCCCACAACTCGGCGAAAAAACACAGTATGGCCCTACCTGCAGGTTCCAGCCGGCGGACTCCAGGAAAAAACGGGCCCTCTCCTCGTCCACATCAGTTACAGTGACGAACTCCCTCACAGACTCCTCTTGACTCGCCATTTTGAAACGCTCCTTTAACGATCCGTCCGTTTCCACCTGAGGAAACAAGCAACAGTTCGTTGGTTCCTATCTGGGTTCGGAGGGGAAACCGGAACAAAAGTCTCGCAAAATGCTAATAAAATAAATTAACCGGTCAAACTAACTAATTAACACACCATGAATACTTTCTTTCAAAAAAATATAAATTTGTACCCCTTACAGAATTATAATGACACGGTTTTAACATGTTATGATTACTTTGACCACAAGAGGGCGGTATAAGCTCATTTGAAAAACAACTAACTCCGAAACGAGGGAGAATAACTCCTAAACAGTTGAGACTGAAAAAGGTTTTCTGCTATTTACTTTATAAACATGCGCCAACGTTTTACAATCTTAAATCTTATCGGTGCAACTAGCATAAGTAAATTATTTATCTACATTTTAGCACAATTGCTGCACCAAAACCTAATCTGCTTTTGTCATTTGTGTTGTTTGTCTGTCCAAATGACCGGGTTTTGATTTCATCCCATGTCATTAGTAGATTAAATCTCTGTCAACAAGATAGTCCAACTGTATGACTATGCTGCGTGAGAGCTAAATACAACAATCTAGACAGTAATTTGCTTGTCATCACACATTAGCTCCGATCTTGGGCTGTGAAACTTCAGGGATGCGATGTCAAACAGATGCCAAATAAAGCTCAAATAAACACTGGCCTGGGATTTTTTTTTCGCAGAATGAGCAGATGGCGAGAGTATTCCGACGGGATATACATTTGCACCTTTGGTAATAATATGTCATAAGGCATGCCGGTCACATGTAATAAAGCAATGAGTAGGAGACAGACTGGGGGCAAATTGAATTGTTTCTGTGGGGGAGGGATGGATGGATTGGTGGAGGATTGGCTGCTGCTATTGGTTTTGATCTTCAGGGATAATTAATCTGAGGCAAAGGGAGAAAAAGCCGTGCTGTCCCAACAAGACGAACAATAAAACAGTGGAATACGGATCATTACACCGAAAAGGGGTTAAGCTCAAGTGATCACATTTGGTTTCCCCTCTGGGGTTTTAGGCTCTGCGTGATGAGGCAACAGCTCTCAGATACAGTGCAAGACCAAATAAGTGGTGGAAGAAGGGCATGTTAACCTGTTCAATGATTGACTTTTAGCAACAGGAAAAAAAAACAGTGTAACTGTATTTAATCAAGAAAGCAAACAACGGACAGATTTAGTTGTTTCATTTTCTGTGAGCTTGGAGTTGGTGACGCGATTAAACTGTTAGCAAACCGGATAAAAGACAAGAGTAACAGCTATAATCAGCCATAATCTGACAGTGACAGGAGGCTGGCATCAGCGAATGTCTCCCCTAAAGGAAACCCCTGAGGGCGTGAGCTGATGTATGTTAATGTGTGTTTACTTTCCCAGGAGATTTGAGGCCGGTATTGATGTTACTAAACCTAACTGAGGTGACAGACACTGTCACACAACACAAAGAAACAGAGAAGTGCCCGAGGAGAAAAAAAGACTCTGCCAAAAACTGCTTCAATCAACTTAGCAGCAAAAAGAAAATGAAAGTGAATGAATGTGATTAAGTTTGGTCGTTAAGTAGGTTAGGCGTGCCATCAGATAAGATTTCTCTGGTGCGGTTTGTTTGCATATATCCACTTTAAAGGAACACTGTGTTATGATAAGACTTTTACGGCCTTCATTCATCATGCAACAGACTACAAAGTGAATCCCCCATTTTGAAGTTTAATCAAATGAACACGATTTTTTATTCTCTATGTAATGGACCAAAAACATCCCAAAATTCAGCTTTAAAGTAGAATAGAATTGCCAGTAATGACCCAGCAGATATTAAACAATGATAATTCACAGTCAACCAAACCAACAACAGGGAAAAGATACAAGTTCAAGTAAAAATTTAAACATAAACTACATCCCTCTGAATCTTTCAGTGTCTAAACAGTCATGAATGCACAGAATAACCTCCCAGAAATGACGTGTCATGTGTAAAATAACACATAAAAAGTGTGGGTAACTCTGTGTACAAATTGTGTAGAAAATTGTACTATTAAGGGCTATTCTATGTATTGTGGCGAGGAATGATAAGGGTTCTATGTCTGACCCCTTTAGAGCCTTTAAGTAAAGGATTTGGATTCGGCCAACTCATTCGTGACCACTTCACAAGAAATAAGAGAACTTCAAAGACTTCTTCACATAGAAAACCCCTGAAAATGTGCTCACACCGAGGCCAGCTGCTTCCAAGATAGTCCTACCTGTTTCTGTCATCTTGATTTGTCTCGTTCAAAGTAGTTTTAAGTGGAAGTCTGAGTCCTCACAAGCAGGGACATCCAGGATATTTGTGGGAGATTTCAAAGGTGCGTGCGTGTGTGAAAAATGGTTCATATCTCTACCCGTACAGTGCAAAAGTATGAGAACAGTGTCCATGTTTAGCCAGAAGTCAAACAGAAAGCTTCACAAAATATTTTCAGGAACAAATGCACACTTTTTAAGCCATGCTGTCTAAACAGAATGAATAATTATATATAGACATAATTTGACATCATGTGAAATAAAATAAAAAATATATAAAAATGTATATATAATATATGTAAAATATGTATTAAAAAAAACAATATATATATATGCCCTCCAATATATGTATTATATAATAAAAATATATATAAAATATATATTAAAAAAAATATATGAATATCATACATTATTATATGATTATATATATAAAATACATTTATAAATAAATAATAAAACAATATATATATATATATTCTTTTATTATTAAAACAATAAATAATAAAAAGGAGTTTTTTATTATTTATTTATACATGTATTTTTTTATTGTATTTTATAAAAAATGGTATTTTATAAAAAGTTGTATTTTATAAAAAAAAATAAAAAATATGTTGCAAAATAAAAAATATTTTTCTACATAGGAACTGATCATATGACAGCTAGCAGCATGATCCTGCCTTACATCCAACATGGATTTATACCCAAACATGGTACATTATCCCACGTTTTAAAGAGAAAACCGTGGCATAGTTCAGGACTCCATCCATCAGATCCAGAAAACTCTTCAGCTTTGGTAGTTTTTCTCCTCAGGTTTGTCCTCCTCCTGTCAGGCCATAAACCTCCCAAAGACGTCCGAAGGGTCAAGGCTTCCTCACTAAGGGTCAGCAGCCCAACAAACAATCAGATTAACCCCAAAACACAAAAACACACGATGTCAAACGATGTCTGTTCTGCCTTTATTCACTCATAAAACAATAAAACACACATTAATCACAGGTTATTGTCAGTGTTTTCCATGGTTTTGAATCTAAGAAAAGATTCTTACTGTGTTGGGTTTTGCTCGACACCAAGGATGGATATCCAACTCCGCCCACATCCAAGTCGGCCATTTTGATTAGGTCACCAATAGGAATATCCCTGGCAAGAAAATCCTAATTGCTTCATGGCAATATAGACATTCATTTAAAAATAGTGACATTAATCTTGCAAACACTGAATTAAACTCTATCCATAATATTATGTTAAAATAGTGGATGTTAAATAGGTTTGTACAATAAGTCCAAACAAGTTTAACCAAAAAATATTTATTTCTCACTATTATGA